CGGCCCATGCACCTGCGGGCTCGGTACCTGAGCTAGACGCCTCCTAGCCCTCAGGAGACTTGGCCTAAGCCGCATTCCGGGTCCTGCTCAGCCGCTGCTGCCAGTGTGTTGCGGAGTGCTTGCTGCTGCTGCCAGCTGCGGGTCACGATCGGGACTATCAATTCTTCATCTTTGCCGAACTACTACCTTTGCAACTGCAGCTTCAGCTTCCCCGGCCCCACCAGCTGCTTAGTACGTGAGAAACCTTCGCCGTGCCTGGTCACCCAAAGCAAGCAACAGCTGCCTCTTCACAACCACCACGCTGTGCTGACGCCCTCGCTCGGTACCTGCCTCGACGACGTCTCACAACGCCGTCATATCCCCTGCTGCTGCTCAAGTGTACTACCCAACAGGTCTCACAGCTTCCCGTCTAGCTGCCTGCGTTTGCGAGAACATCCCGCCGTCAACAAAGAACTCTATCCAGGGCGCCTTTGTCTTCACCACCCGTCGACCCAACCCCGCCGAACGCCTCCTCGACTCGCGGACGACCCTCGACGTCTTATATTACTGCTACATGGTCGGGAAGGAAGGACATTGTGTCAGGGCTTTGTGTCATTGGGCTTGCTATGAGTTTGGATCAGCACATATATGGGTACGGCTCTCTTCTACCTTCCCATGTGGCGGAAGATGTGTAGCGTTCGGCTGGTGCAACGAGCTTCATCTGCATACCTCCGGCCGTCCTTGGCTTCATGTCATGTCGGACCAGACTATGTCCCAATCCAGGTCTAGGGTAGGCAGAGGTCAGGCAGCACCGCACGGTTGTCACTTGGAGCTCGTTGCCATCATCCCTTGCCTTGCTATCCCAAGAATACCTTTCTTTAGACTTCTTCCGCTCCTTCCCGTTCTGTTGATAGATCTCACTTTTGGTTTTCCTCATGTCTCGGCTCGCATCTGCAAGTGCCCCAGGCTAACGTGGGTCGCGTGCTAGATCGACGGACTGGCATCTCCCAAGTCCCTCCTCCACTCCCAAGTCGCTGACGTTCCCTGACGGGACTCTCAAAACACCAAAGACCGAGTCGTTTCCCCACTCGCACTTCCTCGACGCCTGGGCCACCCCACGACCCAATGGGCAGCACACCCCGGTGCAGACTCCTTCCTTCACACTCTCGACGCCCATAGGCCGGCCGTCGAGCTCGTACAGCCAACCCGTCCGCACTCCCGAAGACCCAGAGTTCCATGTCAACCACTTCGCACCGCAAAACCTACCTCTTCCGCCGGTCGACGTGTCCCAAAGGCTGTCGTCCTCGCCGGGCCCTAATCAGCTGAGGAAGGTTGGATCACAGGGACAGTTCGGCTCTCGTCCTGTCAGCATGGACTTCTCGCAGATGCAAACGCCACCTCCAACGAGGGACGCTTCGTCTAGGAGAAGCGTGCAACAAAGTGGACATGGGGTGGCAACACCAGCTACAGTGGTGCACAGGACGCCCAGCCAACTGCCGGAATCCTCAGGAGCTCTGTTTGACCAGACACCGTTTGGCTTCGCTGATCTGCAGTACACTCCACATATGATGCAGTTCCCCAGCGGTGGTCCAATGTCTGCGCCACCCATGCCTCAATCCAAGCTGTTCTGGGACCCAGCGAACGATGGCATGCAAATGGATCTAGATGTGCCGCTGGGAGTAGACCCCTTCGGTCCTACCCCACATAGACCGCAGCACGACATGAACTGGCAAGCAATGAACCATCCTTCGGCTAACATGATGCAAACCCCAGCGTTCCAGGGCTTCCAAGCTTCTCCCGTGCCAGCGTCGTTTGCGAATACACCCTCACAGCAGAGACACGGCTCAAGAAATGGCTCTTTTGTATATACGGCTGCGGGTGTCGATCCTAACATGCTGCTCAGCTTCTCCAACCCCGATATGACTGGTTCTTTTGGAAGCATGCCGCAGCAGCCAATGCTCGACATGTCAAGACAACCGTATGAGACACAATTACGGGATGCGGAAAATGAGAGGGCAATGGCGAAGAAGGCCAAGAGTCAGCATTCACGCAGCAACACAGCTTCGTCGTCGGGTTCAGCGGAGAACGCGAGACCTGTTCTGCAACGAAGCAATACCGATAGTGGGCCGAGAATAACCAGAGCAATGGACCCTCGGATAGCAATCCCAGCTTATGCTTCGACGATTCCCCGTCGCTCATCGCCGCTGAAGCGTCAAAGCGGCGGATCACTGAAAGCGATACCTGAGATTAGAAGACCCCGTACCCGGCTGATCATCGACGAGAGTGGTACGGCTCGCACAGAGACGATACCTACGGGAGATGATGAGACCCCCAGGAATAGACGGCAGACTTCGCAGCAAGATCTTCGACGCCAATACCCCGGACTGTACGAGGAGCAAGACAGCGAGTCGGATGACGATGAGCCAGCTCCAATCGTCAGCCGCAACCCATCCTTCGTCATACCCCAACCCGAACGTCGAGCTACGAAACACGCTCGAGCAGACAGCGGCGGGCTCGAACGAGCCAACTCCTTCAAGATGGCGCGCTCCGTCTCCGCCTCGCGACTCGCATCCGACGCCCTCTCCAAGACCTCTTTCGAAACGCTACGATCAACCCGCCGCTCCGCCGCTGCCGCCGCCGCCGAAAACACCATCCGTCGCTCCAGCGCCATGGAGCGCCCCAGCCTCCGCGAACGAGACCCCGAAGACACACACATGCCCGACTCCCCCGGCGACGCCCTCGGCGCCTTGAAAAAGGTCGTCGGCGCCCGCCAACAACGCATCGGTACGCTAGCATAGCCTGTCGCTTCCCCTTCTCTCGACTGACAAGTTCAGAACGCGCATCTCAAAACACACTGCTCGCACACAACCAACGGTGGGCGCAGGCCTCGGCCGATATGTCCACCTCGCATCCTCCTCCGTCACACAACGTACTTCAACATTTGCAATCGCACGGCGCGTACGACCCTTACTCTAATTCCTTCAACGGCTCGCCGACGACTACGACTACGCCGTCAACGGAATGCAGTAGCAAGAGTAATGATAGCACGAGGTGTGTGTGTGATGGTTTGGTCGATGATGCCGATACGTTGATGGTGCAGTGTGAGGCTTGCTTCAAGTGGTTGCATATGGGCTGTGTGGGGTTGAAGGAGGAGTGGTTGCCCAGGGTGTTTGTTTGTGTGTTTTGTAAGAGTGGGAAGGGGGAGAGTCCGTTGAAGGGGAAGAGGGGTGGGAGGAGATGAGGTGGAAGGAGCTTGCTGTGCGAGCTTGTTATTATGCGTTTGGAAATGAAGATAATGGGATTTATGAGAGATGTTTGGATGGTTGTACAGTTTCGGTGTTTGCGTATCTATGGCATGAAGGAAGTTTCTGGGGGGAGAAGTGGTTGATGGGGGCGAGTAATGAAAATAAGATTACATCGGGGCATGGCTGCTACATCACGTTTATACCGCGAGAACTTCGACTTCCTAGAGGGGTGAGGGGCTGACAATACAGTGAGTGTCATTTGTTGTCAATGTAGGAAGCAGGGCTGGTGCACACATTGGCTACATGCCAGCAGTCCATGCGGGATATGGGTAGATGCTGAGCACGACATGCCCGTTACCACCGGAGAGGCATTAGCTGACACACCACCAGGAGAGATACGTGGTATAGACGCGACAGCTTCGGCTGGGGAAAGAGGCAAAGTAGGCCTCTCGGTACTACACGGCAGCCAACAAGACTAACCGTACCAAAGGCCCCGCCGGCAGCATGTCACTCTCAGAGTTGCAGTGGCTTGGGTCCAGATCAGTGTAGCGCATGGACACGGAATCTGGAAAACCACGAGGAGTCCAAGGAGAAGGATGAAGTCCTCAAGCCCCCATACAAGGACCCCCGCCGTGTAGCAGAGCTACGTCGTCAACGTCCCCTCGTCGGCCGTAGACAGCAAAGACTTCTGGCACAGTCTCCAGGTTGTTAAGATCAAGGGCAGCGTATTTGCTAATGAGTTGCCCGGATAAGGATGCCGGGAAGGTCTGGTTGAGCAATGACGGGCTGGACGTACTGAATGTGGAAGGGAGCGACGGGGGGATGCGGTCAGAGGGCATCGACTTCCTCTTTCAAAACTGACAATGGCTCAGCGCTTGAGGACAAGCCCCGCTTACCGCGTGCTCCTTCCGTTCTTCTTCAGCTGCAGCTTCTTCGTTGGTGATGTCCATCTAGACCCAACCACCGCATCTTGTATACGGTGTACGTGGGTTTCCAAATTCCGTCTCCATGCGCTACACTAATCTGGACCCAAGCCACCGTGTGAGAGCTTTTGTATAGGGTGGTTGAAGACGTCTGTAGATAGTGTGACTTGCGGTTCTCTAGTACTGTTCGAGAAAGTGACGTCGGTACGCGGAAGGAAAGGACGGCACGCTCATGCGGTAGCGGGAAGGCTTCGACCTAGCTACTACCCTACACCGACGTTAGCGCAATTTGGCGACTTCTCCAAGTCAACTTTTTGCCTCGTGCCGGTTATCGCAGTTTGTGGGTTAGAGGCGGCTGCATAGTCATTTTGTGCCTTCCTGCCACACTGCGGGAAGCTGACATCGTTCCTTCTGATTAGTGACGTCACGCTTGTCGAGCAGCGAGGACACAGGCGATACTCATTGGTTGCAGTACTGCAGAAAGTGAAAGAGTATGCCCTACCTGTGTGTGGCTGAACCAAGAGTCGACCCCAATCCTTTCGAATAAGCGGTTATGCTATAGTAATGTGCGCAGATTGGGTGGGTAGTGTGGCAGTGTCTACCATAGTTCCTCCCTCGGCAAGGCCTCGCACCTGCTCTATAAAACCCGTCGCGCTCCCTCTTTTAGATTTGCACCTCACACACTCCTGCCCATTTGTATCCTATCTCAAAGCACGCACCAGGTGCTGACGTAGCCATCATGTTCGATAAAAAGGAGACCACTCCCCTTCTCCCTCTTGTTTCCTCTTCACCACCGCCATCCACATTTCTCACAGACATTCATAACCACTATATCGAAGACAAAACGAGCACAATGCCCAACTCACCAGTCACTCCATCAGCACCGGCAGGTCCCACCCCTCCTGCCACGCCAACCTGGGCCCAAATCGTCAATCTTTTCACATCCACTCCACGATGGGTCAACCCAGCCAACGGCGTACGCAGCCAAGAAGCCCAAGCCAAGATCGACCATAACGACCAAGCAAACCAGCAAGCCAACAAGCAGACTGCATGGGCTTTGGTCTTTCTCATCGTCAAGGGCACATTCCTCCTCCTCATGATCTGGCACGCAGCCCCCCTCGCTAAGACTGTTATCGACACTCTATCGGCTTAGGTGAGTCTAGCCACGCAGTTGTGAAGCAGGGGAACTATGCTAACGTCTTCTTCATAGAAAACCTTGAACACAACCGCAGCGCGCGATGCACTCATCGAGGACGTGCGTAACGACCTGTTCAACGATGTCACGAACGAAGCCCGCGATAAGCTTATTCAAGAAGTCCGCGACTTGGTGTACAACGACGTCATGGGCTCCGTCAATATCATCATCCAAGACTACATGGGACATCAAACAAGCGGGTAGGGGTGCTGGGGATTGAGTCTACGTTTAGATAGGAAGGTTACATTAGCACACAGCCTAATAGCAAGCCTCGCTACAAGCAACCAACGTCCTCTCTTCTGTTCATCATTGTGAAGCTTCTCCCACCGACACCGTACACAACCGTGTTCACGCCTCTACATACCCACTTACACGCTGTCACGCGAGGGCGCCTCCATTCCTAGTAACAGAGACAGCATACAACACCGTCATGTCCAGCATAGCGCGAGTAGTTTCCACCCTCCTTGTGTAGAGATAACATCGTCTCCGCGGTCCCTTGTGCTGACGCAGTAATACGTGTCGTCATTGTATGTACTCTCCTCGATGAAGTTTGGTCCGACAGTGCGATGTATCACATTAGGATCTCACTGTCCAGCTTGCGGATCTCACCCCCAGAAGAACGTGGGATCAGCTACTGCTGGTATAATAGGCTACGGAGCCGTAGGCTCTGGGGTTGTTGTGACATGGGGTGGGCATACACTACGGGACCATGTCGCGTATCCACTGGGTGGTCGTGATCACGACCTTATCGGTACAGAAAACTGACAATGCCTTAGGACGAGTTTCCCAGCAACAGATGGTTTGGCACGACCTACAAGCCAAGCTGGACAAAATGAACCACACTATCAAGCTGCTTAAGTTGGTTCCCGACAACGAAGCCGTAGCACACCGCACCGACCGTCTTGCACTTCGCAGGGAGTACAATAAACCCCTTAGGGTTCACCAAGACCACATTCGTCGGGGAGCTGTAGCCCAACTCGCTGAAGCAGAAGAATCTCTCGATACCGCATCTCGCCAGACTGATTTCTCGACCACCGCGCTCCGGGGACTCCGCGATCAAGTGAGAAACCTTCAGCAGTACCAGGAAGGTCTGCAACCCACCGAGCCGTGGTCGTTTAGAGAAGGAGATCACCAGCTCCCCCGACTCCAAGTCACCGCACCAGTGTGCATTCATCAAGACGTTCCCTGCAGCCGTTGTCGAGGCTCATTCCGAAGTCAAAGAGATGGCAAAGGCCATCGATGACACTCTCGCCCAGCCTGCGCAGTAGGTGGTTCAACCCACCCAGGCGACTACAACCGCGCCCGCCCCCGGGGCCTGCTCCTTCCGTTCTTCTTCAGATACAGAGAGTGCGAGAAGCTGACATCTACTTCGTTGTACGCCGGAGTGACGACAACACTAGGGCGAGGAGACTCCACTTAGCTCAAATAGCGCTGTATCTCACCTTCTGCACTCGATTACGAGCTGCAAGGACATCGATTTCCAACACCTGGCATGCAAACTCCAGCATCGAATGCAGGATCATATCATAACCGAAGAGCTTTGCAGACGCCTATGATGATAGTCACCCGTGGGCAGCTCCTCTATATCGACGACGCCGTCGACATCTAGTGGTAAGTGCCGCGAGACGACTACTACTTTCTGACCGACGCCTCTCTGCTCCACGAAGCATCTCGGAGTCTACGTTAACCTCCAGTCTTCGTCTGCGAGTATCTCTCAGTGTATCCCTTAAAACAGGATGGAGTTCAAGAGTATGATTGAGAGTATCAACGGGTGGCGGTGATGGATTTCTATTACCGCAGTTTGAAACGGACTCACAGCGCATAGCGCACCCGGATCTTATTCAGGCAGATTAGGCGCCTTCCGTGCTTCCGCTGTCAAAGTCTCGTACTCCTCTTCCCGCTTGTCTAACTCCGTCTGCCTCCTCTTATCACAAAGAACTCGACCCGTTAACGTAGAGTGAATCGGATAATCCTCCAGCATCATAGCCTTAGGTCTCGCCGCTAGTGTACCATCCGACGCGGTTAGCCAATATCCATGCTTGTGTTCACCGGGGAGCTCTCCCCATCCCATGTAGTACAACATGACCGAGAACTCGATACCCCGGCTTGAAGTTTCGTCTTCGCCTCTGGGCAAACCATCGTCGGCGCCTAGCACTTGGAAGTTTCGCATCTCCGCCATGTGAGGAGTAGGTATTGAGGAGGTTCGACGATCGGGTTTTATTCAATGAGTTGTGAGACAATGTCGTTCTGTAGGAGTTACGTCGCCTTCGCGGTCCCTTGCGCCGACACGATAAGACGTGTGGTTGCTGTATGCAGTCTACGCGATGAAGTTTGGTCGGACAGTGCGAAGTGTGACAGCAGTATGTTACCTCCTGGCTTCTAGAAGTTATCCAGCTACCCTTTGTCACTGTCGTCCACCACGTCTCTGACATTAGATTCCGCCATGTCTTCCACATCACGAGGTTCGAGCTGGAGCTGCACAAGCATCCCACTGAAGATAGTATTGCCCCTCTATGGGTAACATCTCAGTGTGAACTGCGAAGCATAGGCCGGTGAGCTACCGCTGGTGCGTCATGCCACGAAGTTGTAGGGTTTGGAGTTGTTGTGGTACGGGGTAGCCATACGCTGCGGGACAATATCGGCGCCTTATCCACTGCTTCGTCGTGCCCACTGTCTGTGGATCTGCCGTGAGGCACCCAGGCAAGGATGTGTTGCTGGCGGGTGTGTGGCGTCCTTGGTGGAACAAGGCAAAAGCCTGCTCCGCAATGGTATCTTCAATGTCTGAAATATCGTTCAGCATATCTTCAACATCCGGGCTACCCTCTTCATCCTCGGAATCATCCTTGAGATTCGCGAGATTGCCGTCTTCATTGTCGTAATCATCTTCACTCTCACTCTTGTGGCATGAGCCATCGTTGACATCACGACCCCGGACGTGTTCGGCCTGATGAGTGGTACTCTGGGTATCCATATATCCAGTGCATTGAACCGCATGTTGCCAGAGGTCGAAGTCACCGCTCGGTTTCGGCGTCAGGGTCATCGCCGCCCTCAAATGAGGTCTGCTTGGCCTCGCGACCTAGTATGTGAATGCTATGGCGTATGAGAAGTTCCGCGAGAGGAATACGAACGATGGAAACAACGAACGAAGTTGGCTCATGACGGTGCGGGGACACGACAACGTACGATAAGAATACACCAGGTTCAAGGAAATCGCGGCCGTACTTGACGGCAAAAAGAACAAGGGATACAAGGGGCCTCTACCCATCTGGGGTAGTTACCCCCAGTATGCTGCTTCGGTACGCCATCGTCATCGCCGATAAGATAGGTAAGGCCAGCCGATCGCGGTCTGAGACCTCGAAGGCAATATGCGCACTACAGGCTGGGAAAAGTATGGGCCTCACTGGAACTCCCCTCGAAAACGATTACGATGAGGTTCAACCCCCTATGAAATGGTCAAGAATCGAGCCCAGGAACGACATCAAAGTATTCAACGACTACTTCGTCACCAAGAAGCCGAAGAAAACCAAGGCCAAACCCCTCAAGGGCGTAAGAAACGCGATCCTCTCCACCAGCCTACAGGCCTGCTTCGTTCCCCTCGCAATCGACGACACTTTCAATAGAGGTCGCCTCGTTGAATTCTCGCGACACAGCGTGAGAAACACGAGATTGACACTACCGACGGCCGAGGCGGCCCATCAGAAAGAGACAAGACCCATTTGGGGTAAGTAGAAGGGGGGGAAGGACAGAGAGCGGTGGTCCGAGAGACTCCGCGTCCGGGCCCTGCCAGAGGTTCTTAAAGCACGTGTGAAGGTTGTGGGTCCAGGTGTGGCCGCTGGGGGGTGGACACCGGGACGGTCTCCGTCTTCCGTCTCCATCCAGTCTACCGGCCAGGACGCTCAGCTGGTAAGCGCTGACAAGCGACCCCCCATGTAAGCGCTTTGGGACGGCGGGGAAGTACTAGTGGTAGACGTCGAGTAGCGGTACCGACACCTGGGCATCGTCTTCTTTGCCGCATTCGATCAGGTTGCAACGCACAACGCTGTCGTGAACTATGAGGGCGAAAGTTACGTGGACATGAGTCACAACTTACGAAGAACGGTGATAGAGAGGCAGAAGACTTCCATGTCCCAGACGCGGAGCTATGGGTAACCGAAAGAGGTGCCAGAGGCATACATTGGCCACGCACTGAGGGAGAAGAAGCGCATCCAGCCCCTAGGAGCCTACTTAACAGAAGGATGCAAAGCCGCAAGGGAGTAGGAGGAAGCGCGCGGGAGACAAAGCCTTAGCGAAGATGATGAGGGAGCGGACCTTGCCAAAGATTCTGAGAGCAAGGATGAATATGGGGGTGCGAAAGACTTTGAGGGGCTCGGCCTTAAGACTTAGAGGCGACGATGGGTTTGGCTCAGGAAAACATCTTCCTCGATATGAGCCACAAGCAGGCGCGACAGCGTCTCTTGGATGGAAACCAAGGACGACTGGAGCTCTGCACGCATCAACACGCTGATGCAGCAAGTCGTCCCCATTCATGAGTCGGCCACGGAGGGCAAGATCATCGTAGCAGAAGACTTCCTGCGCTGTTTGGACGCGGTCAGCAAGTTTCGACTTCGAGGAGTGGGAAAGCCTTAGCAAAGAGGAGGCCTACGTCGACATAACCGCGAAAGAGTCCCGCAATTAACTCTTAGAGGAGACAGAGAAGGATTAGCACTCAACACAGGTTAACAAGCTTCCTAAGCAGATTCTCTCCCTGCACGAGTCCAAGAGCGAAGGGAAAATCATCATCACTGATGAATTTCTCCAGACTCTGGAAGTTGTGTCCAACGCCTTACGAGCAACGGGCATCGAATTCCTCGAATTCAACGGCCACATGAGCTTGAAGGAGAGGGACGCTATGCGCGAGCGATTCAACGACCCTAAAGACAAAGTTAGGGTTATGCTGGCGACCATTCAGTGCTTTGGTTTGGGCCTGACCCTGGTAGAGGCTACAAATATGTTCATCCTGACCCCAAGGTGGAACCCTGCCATCAATGCCCAGGCCGCCTCGAGGATCAACCGGATAGGTCAGAACCGTCAGGTAACTATCTGGACGTTTTATGCACACAACTCAATTGAGCGCTACATCGACAGAGAACGAGAGAGGAAGAAGAAGAAGAAGAAGGCTGTTCTGACCTTGGATCAGAAGGGGGTGAGTGAGCGGTTGAGGAAGAGAGTTTGACGGAAGAGGAGTTCCGCCAGACTCTTACGAGACTGCGCGTGCGGAAGACGGCGAAATAAGGCGAGAATAACTGAGCTGCCACCTGGAGACGACCCAGACCTTAACTTCACCAGGCAGCGCAGATCTCGGTCACTAACTGGGCGCATCTGGCCAGAACCCAGCGCCGCCGGGGCACAGGCTACCGCCTGGGCAAGAGAGTCCTCCGACACAGCTGCTGGGTAACCGCGAACAAAGCCGTACATATCTTGCGCTGCTAACGCGCAGGCGATCGCCCGAGTAAACAGGACTGGGCAGGACTGAGAGGTTACTGTATGGACATATGAGTCGCCAAATTCTATCGAGGCTTACGTCACAAAAGCCCGAAAGAAGAAGAAGAAGATCAAGGCCAAGTTGGCGTTGCACCATAACAGTGTGAGCAAGCATCTGAAAAGCCAGATGGCAAATCTGAGGAAGGATGCGTCCCGCCACACGCTCACCAAGTTGCGAGTCGAGGGGGCAGCTAGCAAGAACAAGGCAGCAAAGGCGTCACTACTGGATGGCAGCGGCTTGGGGGTAGGTCACCGAGGTGAGGGTGCAAGTCGTAGCAATGTATAGCGGCAAATAGCATGAGCTTGTTTGGGAAGTGATTTAGTAGATCCGGCTGGAGTTCTTTGTCGCGAGGGATGTTGTGAAGTGCGACCGACTGACTAAGCTACGGCGAGTAGCTAATGCGGCGGAAGAAGACTTTGACTAGATACGAGTAGTTTTGGAACATTAAGAGGGTGCGTGAAGGCGACAATGCCGTTGAACGGAGAGATTAGAGATACTATTGCTGAGTGACGAGCATACAGTGCGTATGTGAATAGTTGTAGCGAAACCTACCTGACCTCGTTGCTGTAGGCAAGTACGGCAAGCGGTTTTGTTGTAGCTAGATAGATAACTCTGCAAAGTATTGCAAGCTTTTGCAAGATTATCTAGGCATGGCGAGATGCAATGTCGTCGCGCTCTTTGTCTTTGAGGGTTATGGCGGCCGTGTGCTCGATGCGTAAGTCTTTTAGCTTCTTGGCTTCGTTCTTCTTTTGCTAAGTGACCAAGTCGAACTGTTCACGGAGCTCACGCATTGGATCATCATAGATGTCCTCTCCACCAAGGAAGTACAAGAACGGCAATTGCCCTCTGGTACCTTGCCTCCCTCACCCCACCCACGACGATCAAGGCTACCTCATGTTGCCGCGAGCTCGCCCTGAATGGTGAAGAGCTCAACAAGGTGAGCGAGGAAACGGGCGACTAGCTCTCATGAGAGAAATACGTGGGCTCCTTGGAGGAAGCTTGTATTTCTTCGGTGAGTGCTACGTCGCTTCCAGGATTTGTGGTCACAGAAGTGACAGAGTGCCACTAAGGAGTTGTCGGCTGCGCACTTGCTTGTATCGGATCTTATAAGAGAGCTTGAGGGCTATGTAGCCCTCACGGTCCGATGAGATAACTCGTACAAGGCGTCACTAAGGCTTTGTCAGCTTCTAGCTTGCTTGTGCCTGCCGCCTGGAGACTTCACTAGTGAGATGTCGGCCTCTGGGTAATTGATTCGGAGGCGCTCTCCACACGGAAGCTGTCAGTTGTTCTCGATATCGACTCTCTCTTTGAACTCACCTACGAGCTTGCAGCTAGCGTGTTAGGCAGCAACACTTTCATGGTAACCATGCAAACGCCACTAGCACCCTGGGGAAGCACCTGGGGGAAGCAACACAGCGAACTACCCGCGGGAACCACCCGCAGGAAGACCCTGGTGAATACCCTCTTTAAAGATGGCTCCTTGGGTCGGCTCGGTGAGGTGGCTCGTTAGGGTGCTTCCTCAGGGTGCTTCCCCAAGGTATCTCCCAAAGGTATCTGGCTCCCGTGGTGGATACCTTAGGGCAAACAACGGTAACACAGAACTTTCCCCCGTACTTTCTTCCACCACGAACCGTGGTCAATTCTTCCCCATCAAGTCCTCAAGACTCATGTAAAGCCCTGCAGACGGCCAGCACGAACATACGCAAGCCCATCTCGGAAACCACCCAGCGCAGGACGCACCATATCATCCACCTCTACGTCATCACGGGCCCGCATCCTGGTCCTCTGATTCTAGTTTAGGGAGTCTTGGACCTATAGTGTCCATAGGTCGCCTGCGACAACACCGCGTGGGCCCCAGAGATCTTGATCTGCGCGTCTGTACTCAGCGTACGCGGTGTTGCGTTCTTCAGGGACCTTGACAGTCGCACGAAGGAGTGACGTGGTGGAGGAGTTTGTTGAGTGTAGAAGTGATGAGTTGAAGTATCTGATGGTACCTGACTATATAGACTAGCACTAGCCTAGAAGCATCTACCCATCATGTGATCGCTTTATGCAGGCGGCGGTGATCCGGCGGGGGACAGGGAGGTGATAGACTACGAGATTTGGCACGGTGTGTGTTGTGGACGAGCTGGCATGCGTACCTAGGTAATGTTTTGTTTGCACTTGCATGTATGAAGCTGATGGTTTGCGTAACATGAGTGAGTAGGTGAGGTGGAGGAGAGGCGATAAAGATCGCATCCCGAAGTTTTCTTGTATCCACGCTCGTCTCATGATAACCCGACCACACCAAACCTCGAACAATTACTCCAAGTATCAAGCCACCGGCTTCCACATCTTCCAGCCCTCCACTTCAGCACCCGCGCTCTCAAGCATCAACTCTACATCTATCTCAACCTCCCTAGCTGTCTTGTCGTTGTAGTCGTAAGTAGAGTGTGCACCTTGCAACAGAACGACTTTGAAGCCAGCGGCTAGAGCACCTCTGCACGTCGAAAGGACGCAGCATTCACTTTGTATGCCGAAGGCTACTATCGTGTGTACACCCGAGCTTTTCAGCTGGGAGGCAAGCTGAGGGTTGGAGGAGAAGGTATCGCCTAAACGCATTTGTCAAGAGAAAACAAAAAACACAATATGAATACTCACGGACATCCTTCTCTACCAGTCGTTCCCATTTATTATCGTCTCGTGGCTTGAACACCAACTCCCACGCCTTACTCCCTTTCACCAGCGGTCCTTTCTCAGCGAGCTCCTCATGCTGCACAAATACGATCTCTATATCCGGTACTCTTCCCTCTTCACACGCCGTATCGATGGCCCGACGCGCTCGCTGCAGGATGTTCGTTCCAGCTCCTCGAATGCGCTCCGCATGTGGTATTTCGGTCGCTGCGTTTTGCGCTAATTCGACTTGGATGTCGATTGCGAAGAGGGCTGTTCGTGGCATGATGGGTATGGGGTTTGGGGATTGGGAAGTGGATTGGGGTGTTGGATAGGTTGGGTGTATGGTGCGAGGTGTATGGTGTATGAGTCATGGTAAGTATACTGGCGGAGGTAGAGCCGAAACACTGGGAACAACTCCGAGCACGAGGGAAGAAGAGCAGTATGATGGAGTTAGTGAGTCGTCTAGTCGTCTTCGAAAGATAGATGTAATGGTGAAATCTACTTGTGGTGTCTCTGCGAGGTTGGCGATGGAAAGTTACACAGTTTTACCTTGTTGAGCGACGAGATGTTAGACGCCGCTTGCAGTAAGATGGGGATATTCATTGCTTGGTTATGCCCATGTGGCTCGTTGAAAACATGAAGCTCTCAAGTCCACTGCCTCTACACTGACCAGCTTGACTAAATGAAGTCGCCTTCATATGCGTGATATAGGAGCCATGAAACGCAGAGTTCAAGCCAGCGAGGGGCAGAGTATACCAGACTGGGAGTAGTGGGTGATGCAGCATGTGCTGGCTGTCGTCGTTCTGGTAATTACGAGCGAAGAGGAATTAGTTCAAACAGGAGGGGTAGACTGTGCCCCGCCGCAGAGCCAGCACAGCGATACGTGGACATGAAGCGGCTGGTAAGACGCTTCGATGAATCGATGAAAGCGTCAACGATATATCGTGAGATTGGTAGCCCTTCTTTGTTTTGACGAGCTTGTGCCACCTGCGATCGTCTTCCTACACCGACCTTTTTACAAAGACGTGAATCAGCGACTCAAAGATTTTCTGGTTTTCGCCATGCGCGCGTGCAACGGTCTGTCTTGTGGTGGGGTACTGGCTATCTTTGAGTAGTCATGTTACATGCTGCAGAATGAGGCTGTACTCGCATGAAGGAAGATCCAGATCCTATCAAAGGCGAGGGTTCTCAAAAAGGCATGCAGGCGGGAACACTACCGGGGCGTCACCCACTGAAATCCGAAGGCTCCATGCTGGAAGGGTTGGAAAGGATGGGGCGCGAGGCCGTTGGTGTACGTTTGGGGTTAGGCGCTAAAGTGTCGGTGTGTAAACAAACTCCAGCACGCTCTTGACACGTCGACAACGCACGCGCTAGCCATCCCAACCACCTCGCAGCCAACCCCCACCGGGTGCCGCCTCGGCTCACCATGAATTTCAGATGATGGGATCCCTGGCCTCCCATTCTATCTATCTTGCAATTGTTCCATCTCACAAACTTTGAGTTACACATTGCGAAGAATTGTTGGAAGAAAGGTCGATATGGCTACTACGATGCACCACCCGTCTCCCCAGCCGGGCCTTACCTCATTCGCCATCTACGAAGACCCACAGGATCGCGAACCCTTGTCGCCGTCGGACTTGTTCGACGGCAGTGACTCGTACCACTCCGAACGCTCGTTCCCCATGGCCCACGACGTTGTACATAGCATTGAGCTGGCACAGCAACAGGAGCCCGACGACGAGCCCCAGCCCTACCGCAGCTCCTACACCTCGCGCCCGGGGTCGCAGCAGCGCATGTCCTCGCACTACAGCTTCGTCTCGGCTATCCCCTCCGAGTCGTCGATAGCTTCGAAACCCATCCTGCCCGCTAACGAGGCCGGTGCACGAGCACGCAAAGAACGTCCGCGCTTCCGGAATACTGAGTCTGTCCGCGCCATGCAGATGTCGTCGCCGCCGCCCACACTCGCACACCAGACCTCCCAAGAGCGACTCAAAGGGTCCTTCAAGCTGGCTACACCTAGCAGGAGCAGCAGATCAGAGCACGACATGTCGAGACAGTCTACCGGCTCACGGAGAAGGAGCATACGGGAGCCTCATAGTCCGAGACCGACCCCGACACCGCAGCAGGCGCCGCTGGTCCTGTTGCATGTTACCATTCTGCCCATGCAGGTACCGTACTCGCACGACATCATGGCCAGAATCATGCCTGATTGGCTGGTGGAGAACTACAAGCTGCTGGAGGAGAAGCTGCAGGACATCATCCTGATGCGACGCGGCCTTCTCATCCCGCACCCCAGGGACGAGTACGACCTGCTCGAGGAACGCATACTGGAAAGCCTGGAGCTCAGAACACCCCGCCTGCTCCCGTGCGGCCACTTCGTCCCACCCGAGGACGAGGACGAGCGGGACGACGAGGACGATGTCGCGAGCGTCGGCGACGAGAACACCGGACGGGGCAGTCGCATGAGTGGAGGCACACTGACGGAAGGAAGCAACACCTCCCACAACGGCGACCACAGCATGTGCATAGACTGCCACCGCGAACTCAAGAAGCCCGGCAAAGGCATCGGTGCCGGCACACGGAAATGGGACATCAAGATCTACGCTGCCAACGGTCTGATGCGCGCCGCTGCATGGCAAGCCTGCTGGAACGACATGGAAAGGTGTGACGTTGAGATCCACCCCTGGATCCCCGAGGAGGTCCGCAAGACACTCGAGCGCCGCGCCCAGGAGGAGCAAGAAGCCGACAAGCGCAAGGCACAATACACCGTCGAACTGCAACGCCAAATCCAAGAAGCCGCCGTCAAGACCAAGATCCTAGAAGAGGAAGCCAACGAGGCGAAGCGCAAGGAGGAAGCCGAACTACAAAAGAGCTTCGAAGAGGCCGCCGCCGCTCTACAAAGAAGCATCGAAGAGAAAGCAGCTGAGAGGAAGAAGTTCGAAGAGGACCTCCAGCTCAAGCTCAACGAAGCGAAGGAGGCTGTTCGTCTTGAACTCGAAGCCAAAGCCCTTGCTGAATCCGACGCCGTCGCCCAGCGTCTCCGTGCGCTGGAAACTGCTATCAAGGAACAGGAGAGCGCTGAAGCTGCCACACGTCTCTCGGCAGCTCAAATACCGCTCACCACGCTGCTGAAGAACTACATCATCCTTCTTCTCAGCGACAAGCGCAACTCTATTATCTTGTTACTGGCTGTTGCGGTTGCGTACATGGCGATGAACATGCGTGCTGCTCAGCAAGCACCCGCGTCGGCACAGATGCTAGAGCTCCCCACCGAGGTTGCGGCGCCCATGATGAATGCCGTCACGGCTACTATGACTGCGACGAGTTACTCTACATTTACGGTTACGGAGTTTGCCACTGCTACTGCTGTCCCGGTTCTTGAGATTGCGGACCCGGAGATCGAGTCTGTGGCTGAGGAGGTCAAGGCTGAGGTTGAGGTTGAGGTCGTTGTCGAGGAGAAGGCGGAAGAAGAGACATCTACCAGCCCCGCTGTAGATCTTGACATCTTCGACGTCGTTGTGGAGCAGTCTACTCCCCTCGCTGCTGCTGAGGTTGAGGTGAAGACGAACGTCGTTGTTGCTTCCAACCAGACACCCGCTGAATCCAGCTTCTGCGCTTCAGAAGTCGAACACGTCTTCGAGGCTCCGCTTGCGTATTGCGCGGCTTCTGCTTAGACGCTCTCCTACCTTCCTCCTCCTCCTCCTCCTCCTCCTCCATCGACTTCTCCCCACCCCGCATATTTCCTCCTCTTTTCCTTTGTCCTTTGTTACACTTTTCCTGTTCCTTTTCTCTTTTCTATGAAGCTTATAACGCATACCCCCTCACGGCCTCTAGCATCTACCTATCTATATGCATATACATGTGCATTTTGCATACATACACCACACGATACTATACCATGTCTTTCATGTTTCATGTTCATGACGTAATGTAGCGGTTTCGATTGAAGATATCCCTTTTCTTTCGCTTTTTTTTTCTTTCTTTATGGTTGGGTTGGGTTGGGTTGAGGTTGGGGCATAGCGGGTTGTTGGTTGATGATTTGGATAGTGTGGATATGGATGTGGATGTGGATGTGGATAGGGATATGGGGAGTATATACCAATATGAAGAATGAAGAATGAATGAAGATATGATATCATAATGTTGCCATGTATGGCTTGGTTTCAGTGTGTTTGAATTGCCATGAGAGACCGAATTGTCAGTGTAAATGTGAATGGTACCAGGCATATCAGTGTAGTGTGGAGATATTCGATGTAGCTTTCAAGTTCATTCGACACGGGAAAAAGCATAGTAGTCCGATAGACTGGTCTTTGTGATTATCAGATTCGTATCCAATGGAGCTCTGCAAGTATCAGGATGCACAAGCATCCATCTTTCAGTCTCCTTAATCCTAATGACACCACTATCCATTCACTCACGACCCCTCCCCCGCCTACTCCTCAGGCTGAATACCCTTCTTCTTCAACTCCTCCCTCTTCCTGCTCGCCCTACTCTTCGCATCCTCAACCCACGCCTCATAAGCCCCCTCGCCCTCCTTCAACTTCGCCCTCGTAACCGCCTTCAACAGTTCGCCAACAAAGCCTACGAAATTATGTCTCCTCAGCGAGTTTTCGTATAGCCACCTCGCGCGCTTGTCCTCCTGCTCTTCGAGTTCATCTTCGTCGCCTATCTCGCGTGCGCGGATGCGAAGGTCGCGACAGCAGGCCATGAGGTTGAACCGGATTTCCGAGGCGGGGTAGCGCGCGATGCGGCGTTGGAGGACGGGGATGATTTTGGCGGGGAAGTCGCTCGGGGTGCAGGGGCCGTGGAGGATGGGGGCGGGTTGCAGGCCGTCGAGTTCGTAGAGTTTGTTGTTTATGGATGTGTAGCTGGGTGTGTGGATTAGTGGACTGTGGGTGAGAGGTGATAGGGAAGGGAGGAAGGTGACTTACGCGATAAAGTGGAAGACATCGTCGTCTTCAGTAGCCGTCCTTTGTGTCTCGTCGACGAAAGGCGAAGACCGCGCGAAGGAGTTGTGAGTTTCGCGGATGAGATCCGAGTTCGACAGTGTTTCTCCTCGTAGCTATGCCTCTTTATCAGCCCCTCACATCCAAAAGCATCCAGTACAGTCCCTGCCTCCACATACCTCTGGCGGAAAGTCCCCAGCAAATTCCTTGAACTCTTTCAGTTCCTTGCCGATATCCACTTCCTCTTCCCTATTCAGCAGCAGCGAAACAATCGCCTGTGTACCACACGCATTCTGTATCGTTTGCGCAGGGAAGAAGAGCTTATTCGCCGCCTCGTAGTCGTACGTCCCGTCTTTCGGTACGTCGCTGGGTTTCTCGCCGGTTGGGTACTTGAAGAGGAAGATTACACCGTACAGTGTACCGAGGGCTTGTAGGTCTGAGGGTTCGAGTGTGGTGAGTTCTTCGAACTCTACGCCTTTGACACCGAGCTTCTCGATGAGGTATGTGAAGACACCCTGTGGGGTTGTTAGTATGCGGTTTCTCTGGGGGAGGGTGAAGGTGGGCTTACGGCATCAGACTCTATGGTGTTCCAGCCTCCCGACATAGTTGCGTGAAGGTAGAGCGGTGAGGTGCGCGAGTGTGTTGTCGATGTGTTTGGACCTACGCCATCGACAGGCGCCGCCGGAATAACTCCTCGGCCCGCGCTTCGGAACGTTCCGATGCCCCACTATGAATTGATGTGAACAAGGTCGTCCCATGTGCTGACCCCTCTACCCGGTATCGCTCGTGTTCATGGAATCAACTTCTCGTGTCACAGAACAAAGGCCTTGGCGAAGTTGTATAGATGCGGCCACGGCATGGAATCGATGCATCAGCCCTGCAATGACGTCTACCGTTGAAAAGTTTCACCTCATTCCAACCGTATCCAAGGCTACCTAGGTATGGCTAGCGTAAGGCAGATGGGGCTCCTTACTCAGTACTTCTAGTCATTTCAGATCTCCTTGCGAAATTTGCCTTGTCATATCTGTATACAGGTAGATCGGCTGTTTACCGGCAGATAGATCGGAAGCACGCTCCTCAGCTTGCTTCACGATAAGCTCATACTGTCAGGTCCTTTCTCCTTTCAAGACTAGAGCTCCATTCCATTCGCTTCGGTCATCACTTTCCTTTCCGTTCTATTGGCAGCTATGTCTACTAGTATGCATCGTGAGTGGGACTGTGCTGAACCCTGGTCTGCTTCCCGAGCACGCAATGGAGTTGCGGCTTCGCGCAATGGGCGTGGGTAGCGACTACCCAGATACGTCAGAGTGTAAACAGATCCAAAGATATTTCAACGCTGTAAATTTCACAGAACTCAACTCCCACCCACAACCATGATTCCAATTCGAGTTCTGCTGTTACTTTCCTTAAGTGTTGCCGCTCTTGCTGGGCGCTCTACCAAACCCAACTTCATCTTCATCATTACCGACGATCAAGACTTACATTTGAACTCGCTCGACTACCAACCTGCTGTGCAGAAGCATTTCGCCCAGGAAGGTACTTGGTTCAAGAAGCATTTTTGTACCGTAGCACTATGTTGCCCATCACGAGTGTCGCTCTTGACTGGGAAAGCTGCCCATAACACGAATGTCACAGACGTCTCAGCTCCTTACGGTACTTCGAACTTAAAGGAATAAGCTAGGAATTGTACTGACTACTAGCAGGCGGATATCCTAGATTCATTAAAGAAGGTTTCAATGATGCTTATCTTCCCGTGTGGCTTCAGGAGGCGGGCTACAACACGTATTACACAGGAAAGCTGATGAATGGACACTCCACCTCTACATACGATGCACCGCGAGCCAGTGGTTGGAATGGTTCTGACTGTAAACACCTCATAACCACTACAGCAACGCTGTCTAGCCACTGACATCCACAGTCCTGATTGACCCCGGAACCTACGTCTTCTACAACTCAACCATGACACGTAACCACGACGTGTACAGAAACCTACCAGGAGAATACTCAACCGACCTCGTAGCCAACGCCGCAGTCTCCTTCCTAGACGAAGCCATCGCAGCACCAGACCGGCCTTTCTTCATCGGCGTCGCACCCATAGCCCCCCACTCAGAAACAATTACCAACCCACGCCCTACAAAGTTCAACCTACCCGTCCCCGCAAAGCGACACGAACATCTCTTCCCCGACGTAAAAGTACCCCGAACACCAAACTTCAACCCCTCAAAAGTAAGTAGTCGCACCTCTTCTACCGCAGTCCGCATCTCACACTCGTACCCCATCAGCCAGGAACAGCATCCTACTTCTCCACGCTCCGCCCGCTCAACGCCTCAGAAATCGCGTACAACGACGCCTGGTACCGCGCACGCCTGCAAACCCTCCAATCCGTCGACGACCTCATCGAGTCTATCATGAACCGTCTGAGCAAAAACCCCGAGGTACTGGAAAACACTTATCTGATTTATACAACCGACAACGGCTTCCACATCAGCCAACACCGGCTCCCGCCCGGTAAATCCTGCGGCATAGAAGAAGACATCAACATCCCGTTCTTCATCCGCGGCCCGGGCGTTGCTAAAGGCGCAGTGATGGATATACCGAGTAGTCATACGGATATCGTGCCTACGCTGTTTCATCTCGCTGGTATACCACCCCGGGAGGATTTTGACGGAGAGGTTATTCCTGTTACGGGGGAGATGCAGGAAAAGGGTGAGGGTGGGAAGAGTGAGCATGTTAATGTTGAGTTTTGGGGGGAGTATCTTGTGGAAGGGAATACGTTTTATGGGCGGGATGTGTGGGCAAACAATACGTATAAGACGGTGAGGGTGGTGGGGGAGGAGTATGATTTGAGTTATACGGTTTGGTGTACGAATGAGCGGGAGCTTTATGATATGAAGGTTAGTCTCCTTTTTCTTTGTTCTCTCTTTCTTTCCCTCTCTTTAGTTCCAAGGCTTGGGGAAATGCGTACTAACAAACCCAACAAGACCGACCCCTATCAACTCACCAACCTCCTCTCCACACCCAACACAACCACCTCCTCCAGTGCATCCACATCCTCCTCTTCCTCCCTCACCTCCACAAACTCCTACCCCATCCTCCCCCTAACCGCCCGCCTCGACGCCCTCCTCCTCACGCTCAAGCGCTGCAAAGGCCGTGTGTGCACGCGACCATGGGAGAAATTGCATCCCAAGGGTAATGTACGCAACCTGAAAGATGCGATGCATGAGAGGTACGATGTGTTTTACCTAGAGAAGCAGAAGAAGGTTAGCTTTGATGAGTGTGCCAAAGGACAGATTTTGAGCGTTGAGGGGCCGCTGGAGCCGGTGGCTTGGAGGGAGGAGTGGGATGAGTGGAGTTGGGCTACGTAGATGATGGAGATGGGTTGGGTGGGGTGGGAGGATTGGATGGTAGGAGGATTGGGAAGAGAAGGTGACGATTGGAAAGGGAGGGGAGTGATGTGTCGTGAGAGTGATGATGGATGTTTCTCTCCCCATCTGCAAAACAACTGCGAATAAAGAAATCTGAGAAGGAAAGGAACAACGCCCAAGTCCCAACTCGACCCCAAAAACGGGATATGCCTCCCTTCTTCGAAGAATCCGAATTCCCACCACATCCGATGACATAACCACCCATCCATTCATCCATCCACAGCACAAGCCGCACAAACCACACACCCACCTATCCACCCATCCACCCCAAGCGCCCGGTACCGCCGACAAACATATCCAGCTGAAACTCCCCTCTCCCCCCACCTTCACCAGCATGTAACATCGCCCTGTGATCTGAAACACAACACCGGTATCAGGCCACCCAATATTCATGGAGAAATCCATAGTTTTTTCTCCCATGCTTTACGACTCAGGAGCCTCAGCTCTCGTGGTCGCTCGCATATACACGACTCAGTATACCCGGCGTCGATCACGTGTGGGGTCACTTAATCTATTGAAAGAACCTTGGAATAGCGAACAAGGCTCATCGGCCTGATTACCTGCCAGATGAGTGATATTACGGCCGAGGCCGAATGTTTCAGGTTACGGAGGTATTGCTCACACACTATTTTCTGAGACCATTGGAGTTATGTATCAGGTCACGAAGATGGTTGGCTGGTGTGTAGTATTGGGATTGGCATTGCCTTTAGGCTTATTGGGGTGAATGATAGTAGCGCAGTAGTAATAGTAGTGGTAAGTAAGGTTCAGGCGGGTGGGCTTGCATAGGCGGGTTTGTAGTGGACGATATATTGGCAATATGGAGGATTGGAGGGGTGAGTACATATGATGTGGTGGTGGTGTGTGTCTGGGATGTGAGATCGACGATACACAGTAGATATGCGTGAATATCAAAAAGTTGATTTTGCAATCGAGGTGGTGCATGTTCGGCCGGTGGATCAAAACCCCCCCAAAGCGTTCGGAGGAATTGACAGGTCACATCACAGTGCACGCAATGGCCCGTGAGGGCGGAGAAGAGGAAGTGTCTGTGTGGTTTCTCTGTGTCGCCTGCCACACTTGCCGGTAGAAATCGCTTCCGCGCCAATGGTAGCTCAGGGTGCGACGCTTTTTATAGCTCTGGGCCGACGGGTGGAGAGGGATGCTTTGCATGGTCGTGCAGGTGCAAAGTGTGGCTTGCAGATGGCTGGGGAATGTGTATTGCGCGCCGCGCTGAAAACTCGACATTTTGTGTCAAAACTTGCATTTGGTAACCGGCTTGGCTGCGATGTCTTGTTGTCGTGTGACTGACGGTGTGGTGTCGCGACATGAAGCCTCTTCAGACGTCATAAAATGTATGTATAGTAACGTCCGGATGTTTTTTGTGGTTGCTGAATCGCTGAGTCGGTTAGTAGTGCGCTGGCTTAGTGTACGCTGGAGCTATGCTGAGGCTACGCTGAAAAGGCGAATAGGCCATCGGAAAAGACCGATGCGACGATGGACGACAGATGCAAGTGGAGAGGTGTCTTGTAACCCTAGTCGCAGAACCCCAGAGAAAACATGGCTGCATGGGTAGCCCTAGATGCACGGTCGGCTGCAAACTCCCAGGGTAAAAGGACCTTAATCCTAAGAATAGCCACCACGGATCTATGACAACCAAACACCAGCTCGACGTAGTGAGGTGGCTGAAGGAAGACTAGCCTGCGAATACACATGTTGTCGCATGAACCTGCTTTCGCGCATTCCGCTATGTCGTCTAGTAGAGTTTTAGCCTCGGTGGTTGCAAGAGGTAGCTGGTAGGTAGGCGACGGGTGCCGCCGCGATGCCACTGGTTCCTGGTTTAGAACTCGTATCTCGTGGCAGCTACTTGTGCTCCACCACGCGACGGTCGCGACGGTATCGCGCGTATAGACAACGTCATAGGTACAGCCCTATGGGATGTCGGCGACGAAATCGCAGCTGCTGTGACGATATCTCGATATGTGGATGCAGGCTGTTGTGTCAGGCGCCCACCAGCAGGGTCGCGTAATTACTCAGTTACTGTATAGGCCCCGCCAGCAAGCATTCTCCGCTGCATGAGATATTGCCAGACGCGGGGACATTGAATTACCCAGTACCTAGGTATTGCGATGGTGTCGCCCACTGCCTAGGCGAAGTCACAGGCGAAGTCACCCACGAGTGGGAGCGGAAGTCACGCTTATTCATCGCGCGGCGCCCTTCCGTCGATAGCGGAGACAGGAATAGAGCGAGGTCCGCCGCCACTGCTCGGCGCAACTGGATGCGAAGGAGCGGTATGAGCATAGCGGCGTGAGGATGGGCCAGCGTAGTATCGATGGAAAATCAGCGCGATGAGAGTGTAGACCCTTTTTGCTAAGGTCTGGTGACAGGTGACGCACGGAGGGCTATTTTTGACCGCGAGATATTGAGGGCCCCGGCTTCCGCAGTGTTTAGCGATCGCTGGTGGCATCGCATCAGCAACGTCAGTCTGATTCGACCGACGTCGCTGGCAGCGTCCAGCTTCGCATTTCGCGTTGATGAGATCTCGGGCATCCATGTCGCCCGTGGTCGCCCGTCACGCCCGTCACGCGTGGGCGCTGCCACCTCACTCAGGGCTCTGGAGCTGTCTGAAAAATTAGCAGCGCGCGCGCCCCGAAGCTGACCCGGCGAGCAAGCATGGCGGCCTCCTTCACCCACTATTCCGCAGGCGGCTTCCAACTACCCGTTACAGCATGGCCAGCGAGCTATCCAGGTGCTACTGGTCGATCGTTCTCCACGCACGGCCCGCGCAGCTGTTGGCGTTTCCTCGGTCGTCGGACCTGAATGGCCGTTTTTCACGCCTCTTGCGCTCTGAGCCCGAGCCCCAGCTGGAGCGGCTCATGCACCTGCACGCTCAAACGTCTCCGTCCCAAGCGGATTGACAGGGGCTTTGACCAGAGGGCCACCAAAGGCTGCTTTCTGCGACATGGCCGTCGGCGAACTAGCACCTTCACACTGCACCCTAGCCCTGGGCTCAACCCTCGCCCGACAGGGGCCGCTTCATTCATCCAAACACGTCCACCGTCTTTGAGGGACGCCGTGCTGCATGTCTGAAAGCGCCCTGCCGACTGCGAGGGTTCACGTCTCGCTGGAACCTTAATCCCCACGGGAGTTACACCGGGGCTATGTCATACGAGCAAGAGCCAGCCGGTGCCATCTGGCAATCAGTCACTCCATCGTCTGTAGCTCCCGCAAGCTTCTCTGCCCTCCCTGCTAGCCTCTCCCGTCTCGCGGGCTGCCACCCAAGTCCCTCTTCCGCCGCTCGTGGCGTCACTGCTATTTGTGTGGACGCTACCTCAGGCTAACCCTACCTGGCCCCGTTTCTCGACGTTTGTCGTCTTTGGGACCGAGCACAAGTCACCCTGCGCTTTTGCCCGCATACCACCCAAGTCCCTTCTTCAGCCTGGCGAGCCTCTAGTCCATAGCCTTGTCCTCATCCTGCATGGTCATTGTGCAGGGGGTAGGTTGCAGACGAGCTTGACCACTTCCGCTGTCACGTCGTCCTGTCGTACCCTCTTAGCCTGTCCGCCGGAGGTATTGCTGGCCTTGCGTCAATATCTCTCCAGCCCTAGAGCTATCTAAGCTCATCCCATCTGCACTCTGCACTATATATCACCAGAACGCCCACGAACAGCCTCCAAATCACCACCCTGTCCAATTTAGTCACCGGTTTCGACCCCATTACCCTCGCTTTATCAACCGCTCGCCAGATCTACCGCCCGCATATACACAGCCCCTCGTCTATCCCACCTTCCCGTCCATCTCGCATACCACACAACAAGAGAACACTGCCTGCGACTGATCCTGTGCCCTGACGTGCTACCACGACCACGCCGTACGGTCCACTTCCCACTCTCGCTAAACTACTTCATCCTCCTCTTGAAAAATGGCTGGTCCCGGTGGAGGCCCTTCAAGGCGCAGCCATACCAAGTCCCGAAAGGGCTGCAAGACGTGCAAGAGGCGGCATATTCGCTGTGATGAAACATTCCCGCAATGGTAAGCACCAACACTTCTTTGTCTACGACTCATGTACTAACATCTACCAGCCGCAACTGCACCAAGCACCAGGTTCGCTGCGACTACATGGACAGTCCAACTGCCATGATGCCAGAGTCTCCCCAGTCTCCTCAGCAGCCCAACCTGCTCTGGACGCCCGAGATCGAGGCCACCATCGAACTCTGGAGACAGACGGGAGAGTTTCCTTTCCCCGAGCTCCGAGTATACCCACAGCCGCAATGGCGCGCCTTGACGACGGTTGACCTCCGTCTGGTGCACCATCTTGCCTCTATTTCGAATGAGATGTTCAGAAACAGGACCTCGAAATCGACCCTCTGGACCGACATGATGCCCAAGTACGCACCTACCACCCCAAGCGACTACGCCCAAAAGCAACACTAACGTTTCTAGATTCTTGAGCATAGCCGCAACCCATCCATTCGTTATGCACAGCATCCTCGCCTTCTCTGCCTCGCACTTGGCCTGGATCTCTCAATCAACCGAAACCCGAAACCTCGCATTCCATCACGCAAGTCTTGCTCTCAAGGGCTTGCACGACGGCATCACCAACTTTACCAAGCACAACTCAGATGCTGTACTTGCGGCGTCTCTCCTGCTTGCATGGCAGGCGACAGACTGGTAAGGACTACCCGAATATATTGGGGTAATCAAAACTGACGCAGTCATTTAGGCGAGGCTGGGCTTCTCTAGTCACAGGCACGAAGACTGTAATTCAATCCATGCAACCCTGGAGACATGAGTCTCTGTTCGCCGACTACATCGCAGAGCACACGCCTATGCCAAACCGACACTTTATGAACCCGATCAGTACCCCGATATCGCCAGAAGCACGAAGAGAGCACATGAACGCCCTGGTCGATATCCACGCCTCCCTCCAACGACTACAGCCCTAC